ACAAATTGGAAAGTAACTGAAATTCTTCTCTGATGGATTATATTTACTAAGGGACAACCTATCCTAAATGCTCAATTACTGAGGGATAATCCACACTCATTCCTATATTTGCTTTCTACAACCAACTCTCTCTATAATATTTCATGAGTGATGTACCCGAGTATTCGGCTTCTAATATCTAAACTGTATGTTAAATTTATTCACCTAAATTTGGGTTATTGCAGATTCTGTACTATAAGTATTTTATGATTTTTAAACCAGTTTTTGTACTTTGGGATAATCTAAGCTCCACACCCAGATGCACAGCCACTCTTTCCTTAATCTGTGTATTATATAATTTTAACATTAGCTTTAATAAAAAATTTTAAACTTGAATGCAAGGTTAATGAAAGGTTATCCTTATTGTGAGTAAAAGGCAGCAGAACGTACTTAGCCTGTCCTGATTGAGGAGGCATCCTCAGTTGGACTGAACTTGTTAAACAGGGGGCTCGGATGCCAGCCCTCTGAGAAAGAGAGAGGGGGTGGGGACAGATGTCCCTGCTGGGAGGTGTGGGCTCTACCTAAGAGTTTAACCTACCCCTCCCTATTGTTCAAAGATAGAGCTAATTAAGGCTTCATTAGGAGTCTTTTGTTTTGTTAAGTGATCACTAGAGCTGAAATCACTTGTCGTGGGACGGTGTTTCTGCCCAGCCTGCTTCAGCAATGAAGTTCCCCCATTAAGAACTGAAAACCACTAAGAGCTGGGTGGAACCTCAAGAGACTGACCTGCAGAGGTCACAGTAGAGAAGCAGGTGGCAGTGGAAGGTGACAGTGTGCATCGGTGACAGCGGCACAGACAGCGGGGTGGCCAGTGGCTCGCAGTGGAGCAAGCAAGGTGCCTTCTTCCCTCCCCCACCCAGAATGGAAGGTGAAATCACACAGATGGGCCTCTGAACTCTGGGTCTTCACTGACCAAGGACAACCACTGTGAGAAGAGAGTTAAAGGAAATTTTGGTTGTAGAACTCAAGAACCTGAGGCAAAGGACACTGCCCAAGGTACTCTGGGGTGGATGTTTTGCTCACAGTTTTATGTTTATGAATCCGGCTTGCAGCATTTTCCACAATTAATGCCAGGTTTCTTCCCTCCTTTCATTAAAAGTTTCTTTTCTACACTCAGACTCTGTGCTTGCGAGAGGGGAAGTGTTGCCTCTTAGGGGCACCCAGGGGGTGGTGTGTAATTTTTCCAGGTTACTGGGTGGGGGCTTGTGGTACTCTGTACCTCAAAGTAGCACCCTGGAATCCCCATATTCATCCCTATTATATGATTATGATATATTTCATACGAAGCATGCCATGTAAGATATTATATGAAAAGTCATGATCTGCTGAAACCTATTGTTCTGACAAAATATGTATATCAATAGTGTGTATGAAGTTATGGGATTTTGCTGTATAGTTGTTACTGAAATATGTGGTAAGTTTGCTAGTGACAACAAAGGAGGTGATCTGCATCCAGGAAGGTGTTAAACAACCATTAATCAGCAGTGGAATTGTAAATAAGGGATTTACAATACTGTAAGAGGGCTGCCCAAGCATCACACAAGGGGGGATTGCTCAACTCTGTGACTCAGCAAAGCCCAATAGGGCATGTCTGGGCTAGTGTTTTCCAGGCACATGGACTGAGGGTATAACATAAGGGACAGTGGCATCATGCCTTGGTCTTTCTTCTCCCCCACCTACACTAGAAGAAACAAGAACAGTGGAAAGACAAAGACTTCAGCTGAGGAGAACTAGTCCCAGGCTCAAAAGGGGAAGCCTGTGTATTAAGAACTGTAACATTCAGTGTGGTGAGAAAACTGCTTGATCCAAATACTGCTGAGTGTAATAAGGTTTAAGATTTTAGACTGTGCACTTACCTTTTATATTCTTTGGTAGCCATCCCTGACCTTTTTATGCCTACCACTTATAATAATTTAAAATCTATCTTTCTATAGTTAATAAATCTGTTTTATATTTTACCTAAAACAGTGTGTTTTCGTTGAAGTGCTTGGGAAATCTCAGCTCAGTTTACAAAGGCTTTTGTGTGTCCTCTCCACATCAAGGGAGGGGCGGACTGGGTAATAAACTTACATTGGTCAGGCTTTGGACCAGGGCAAGATGGTACAGTTCTGGGGTGCAAGGCTGGGGCTTGGGAGATTTGCTGGTGCCTTTCTCTGTGTCAATCACGAGTGGCTCTGGGAGCATTCATACAATCTAGCTGGGTGTGGGGCTCCATATGTTGCTGTGCTGAGTGATAACAGCACCTGGAGGGGGTTGCTACTTGCCACTAGCAAAGCATTGTGAGAGACAGTCCAGGCTGGAGAGTTAAGAGGGCACAGCGGTACCCCAGTTCCAGGTTGTACCCTGGGGATCCTGTCACAGGGTTTGAGCCGGTTCTGTGTTGTATTGTTGAAAAGGAACCCCTAGATATTGAACCTGGCCCTGGTTGCTGCTGATTCCTGGCAGAGGGTTACAAAAGTTCATGTTGAACCAACAACCTTAACTCTGCTTTCTTGTGTGTATACATTAGATACATTCTTTGTGATCACTTACTAATTCTCAAAGGCAACAATGCTTTCTACAACCTCAGATATATACATGAATCTACGTTAAGTTGATTACTTTTACAAACACTGCAGACAAATTATCTTCAAACATCATTCTTCCAAATAAAGTACAGAATTCCTGCCCTTATACCTGTAGGTAAGATTTGAAGGATTTATTGCCTGGGTTATTTCAGCTGATATTCAAATGAAACAGGAAACACTATGTCAGCCTCAGTTTTAAAGCAACATTTCTTTTCATGTTTGAAATCTAGAATGGCAAAAAACCTAATTCATATGTTTTTTTTCTTGCTAAGAAATTAGCAACTACCATAGGGGATATTTGAGATTTTTTGGCTACATATACTAGGCACTCGAGATTAGCATCTCGTCTTTTGTTTGTAAAATGAGTTTTCCCTATTCTCTCTAAATTAAAAAATTAAATAATTCAATGAACAATACTAAAGGAAAAGGCACCAGCTGTTACTGCTGCACAGCGCCTTCAATTTCCAAGAGTTATCACCAGTACTAGAGGGGAGGGCTGCTTGCTAAAATGGCACTCCTGCTGTTGCTATATCTAGTGACGTTCAGTTGGGCCCCCTTAAGCGTTCCTGTGAAGGAGTAATCTATTAGTGGAAGTGAGCCTCAATTTGTGGAGAGCAACCCTGCAAACAAAAAGCTCAAGAACCTTCTGTCCACTGTGTAGCCCAGCTCAAGACCAAGAGATAGAGAAAGATGTGCAGTACTTGAGTGTTAATCTTCTTTGCATTAGTATTTGGCTTTCCTGATACGGGGGAGATGTTGAATCCAACAATAGTTGTAGTCTATACATTTTCTTTTTTAGAGAATGCCCTATAGCATCCCTTAGTGCCTGGTGTTTCTCAAACTTTAAGAAATTAGGCCTGATTCACGTCAATGGGAATTTTGCCATTATTTAGGACCAAGTTTTCACCCTAGGACTTATCTAATACACACTGAAGCAATAGGACTCTTTGGGCCCTCAGGGGCGAGACTATAACCTTACAATCTGCTCTGGCAGGAGCATGAATTGTGAGTCAGCATCACAATTGCTTTCTTGTTCCCCACTTGCTTTGGGGAGTAATAAGATACTTCACCTTTTATGGGGAGTAGTTCTGTCCCTTGTACAACTTGCTAGCTCCTATAGCTGGAAAGTGTGTGTGTGTGTGCAGTCAGGGCTCCACTCATTCCCCTTCCCTGCCCACTTACTGATTCACAGACACCTGCACACATACAGAGCCTATTGTAGCAGGAAGCAGGAGACATAGCTTCCTGTCCTCCTTTCCACAGGTGAGTAAGGGCTGGGACAATGTCACCCTTAATGAGCAGAGGTGCCGTAACAATAGTTGACCGAAAACAAATTCATTCAGCAAAATGGAGGGATAAAAAAAGAGAAGGAAAAGGAAATAGACGGGGACAGACACGGTGAGACTGTTGTATGGAGTGTAGTTGTAGCGGTGTCAGTCCCAGGGTATTAGGGAGACAAGGTGCGTGAGGTCATACCTTTTATTGGCCCGACTTGTGTTGGTGAGAGACAAGCTTTACGCTAGACACAGAGCACTTCTTCAGGTGAGGCTGTATCACACCTGCCTCCATTCACTGTCCTGGGGGGTGGGTACCTGAAGTGTATTGCACTAGTGTATTAAGTGGGTACCTGAAGTGTAAATAAGAGCACTAGACAGGTAGGAGTAGACAAAGAAGCAGCACTTAGGTCGACGACAATGACAGGCAAGAAATGAAGTACTGGCATACACTTGATGAGTCATTAAAACCAGGTCCTCAGCAAACACCAGTTTGACCTTTCTGGCAAGGGGAGGCAAACACCTTTTTCACTAAATGGAAACAGAACCGCAGTCAGTTTAGAGCATATTTCCCGGGGGAGCATCTCAGCCTCCAGCCCTGACTGTGTGTGTGAAATAAACTCTGGGTCTCTTCCCAGCTCCTAGCTGAGAAAAATCCATGTCGCCTGAACCTCCGCCACCGCAGCCGAGAGGCCCAGCACCACAGGGCCCTGGCCTCTAGGGGCTCCCCCAGTGCAGCTATCGGGGGGGGGGGGGGGGGAACGTGAGCGCTCAGCCTCACCGGCGGGCCCTGCCCAGGAGACTGGGTGCACCGTGGGGAGGCAGCTGGTGGCTCCAGGGCGGCCAGGCCAGTGGAACCTCAGCTCCCTGGAGGCAGGGCACAGTCCTGCGCTGGCCGTGGAAGGAGCTCGCCGCCCGCTGCCCCGGCTGGGCTGCGGATGAGAGCGGGTGGCCAGGCGCCCTTTTCCCCCGCTGCAGCGCGTCGCTCCCAGCCCGCCCCGGAGTGGAGCCATTGCAGCGGGCGAGCGCAGGCTGCGCCCAGGGCCGCTGCAGGCGCGGAACCTCCGCGCTCCCCCCGGGGCGGGAGAGCCTCCCCCAGGCACGCGCCTGCGCTGCCTCCGCCCCCTCCTCCGGGCCCCTCCTCTCTCCGCGCGGTGGCGCTCACCGGCTTTGTCAGCCCTGCCCTGGCTGGCCTGGGAGGCGGCAGCCGGGGCGCAGGCTGGGTGGGAGCCGCTGCCGTCCGCGCATACTTCCCGGCGAGCCGGCTGCAAGCCCGGGCGCTACCGCCGGCGAGCGGTGGGGGGTAGCCAGGCAGGCACGCGGCGAGCCCGAGCTCGGACAGTCTCCTGCCCTGGGTGTCGGGAGCCCGGCAGCTTCCAGCCCTTGCCGTGCGGAGAGCGAGACGCCCGCTGCGCCCGGCAAGCGAAGAGCCGGGCGGTCCCCGAGCCGCTGCCATCAGCCGGCAGAGGGGCTGGAAAGCCGCTGCCGTCAGCAGGCAGCAAGGACGGGGAGCCCACGGCGAGCAAGTTGGGGTGCAGAGGAGGAGGGGAGCCCTGCCCTCTCCCGGGAAGAGTCCGGCATGCAGAAGATGCCGTGCATGGCAGCGAAGAAGAGGAGGTTTTGTGGTCCCGGCTGCTTGGTGTTTCCCTGGCGCTCTTGCTTCCCCGCTTGGATTTGCTGCTGGGCTCTAATCTGCTGTCAAGCGGCGCGGACTGGGGATGCTGTTGAGACTTCCTCCCGCGTGCAGCTGCCTCAGTGTCAGGAGGTGAGATTTCCTTACCCGCCCTGTCTGGCTCAGCAGCCTCCAGCAGGAGTTAGACCTGCGGCTTTCCTTGCAAAGCAACCACGTTACACTCTTGCTGCAATACGGGGCATGATACTTGCAGAGCAGTGAGTGGTGTTTGTTCCTCCACACGCTGGTAACGATGCCTCTTTAATGTTGCGGAAGAGGGGGAGAAAGAGGCGCAATGTGCTGGCTGCGTTTTAATGCTTTTAAACAAGGGAGCCTTTTGATAATGCAGTTACGAAGTCTTCTAAACCGTTCTCTGTGCTCTCTCATCAGTAGTTATAAATGCTGTGGCCTTAACATGATTGTTTTCATTCTGGATCAAGGTTTTGAGGTCTGGCTGCCTTGCCTGCTTAATTTAGCATCGTTATAAAACAAAATGCTTTGCTGAATGCTGAGCTCTTTCTTTTTTATTTAATGTCTATGTTAGGCTCTCAAGGACTTTCTGTTCTCCCCTGGCGTGTAGCAGTGTTTCACAGGACTTCAATCTGCAATAATGGGATGGCAGCGGAAACATGAGCGAGCTCTTGAAATGTTTTGGTTGAAACATTTGTAACCAAACCCAAGAGTGAGATGCTTGCTTAAAAAAAGCCTCAGAATGAATCCAAAACCAGAGAGGCTTCCTCTAAACGAGTGAGTTTTGACAGGTCTCTGACTATTTATTGTCACTGTGTCCAATACTTGGGGCAAATCAGCAGAAAGGTACACATTATGAAGAGAAAAGAGATCAATGTCTTTAGCTGATGCTAAATTGGCTGCCTGGAGTTGCAGGGGTAGTTGTGTTCTAGATTGAACAGTCACATAGGGGAAGATACAAATTTTGGTTAACTGATATCTTTCTCTGCTACTCAGGCAGGAGCAGGGGTGACTTTAATTTCCTCTTGAGCAGAGACTAGTGGTTTTTCTTTCTTTAAAGTATGGTAGATAATGCTACTCTTTTTAAAAGAAAAGTTGAGTCAGATTGCAAGCTCTTCGGGATAGAGACTTCCTCCCTACAGGTTTATAAGACACAATGCGCACCTGTGTGCGCGCGATGTGGTGCAAAATATAATTTTGAACACTTTTTGAGGAGTGGGAGGAAAGAGACGTTCCATTTTAGTGCAGTGAATCAGTGTGACCGATCAGCTGAGTCGCATTGTCCAAGCAGAAAAGTTGTGGTTTAGCTATAATTAGTCTAGATCTGGCTGATATGCCTAAGGTTCAATCCTTCATGTTTTACCATAGCTCAGTCTAAGCTTATGCACCCAGTTCTTTTCCTCTTTAAATCAATGGCACAGCTCCAACTGTGATTTACTTCAGTCACAGCATGATTAGGCACCGTATTTTTAAATCAAAAGATTGAGGCTGTCATTCGAAAGTATTATAGCTTTCTTCTTTATGCATGGCGAAATCAAAGACTTGATAGAGGCATTATCACTGGCTATCCCAAGGGCTTGAAAAGCACGTCTTAATGCACAGGCATGCAGTTCACTTTGAAATTTTTGTAGGATCTTTCCATCAGCTACAGCCACCATTTTTTTTTTATTACTCCTCTCCTACAGAAGGGGAGTAAACATTTTCCAATTTTTGGTCCCCTAAAGCTTCCAGTCCTTGGTCCCTGCAGAAATAGACCCTCGCCTATTGTTGTAGAGTATATATTACAATATTACTAATTTTTAAAATATAGATAATGGACACCCTGCGGTTTAAGGACTTAAAAAGTTATCGGTATCACTGTTTTTTTTTCTGGTGAGGAGTCAACTAGTTAAATGAACTGAGTTTAAAAAGAGGACAGAAGTCAGGAAATCATCCTGCAAGCTACTAGAGCTGTGATAGATGAGGGGCCAAAATTACAGCTGGTGTAAACAGAAATAACTACATGTACTAAAACATCTTTGGAATTGCTAAACGTTATAGATGGAATTTCCTAACTCAGTGGTGCAGCCAACACAGGAATTCTATATTAGCCCTTATCTTAACAGATAAAGAAGAACTGTTCACAGAACTAAAACTTAATCATAACTTAGGTGCAGGTGATTATGATTTGGTCACATTTATAATATGCAACCAGAATAAAGTCCAGACCAGTAATATATATACTTGGTGCTTTAATAGGACTAATTTCACAAATCAGAAAACAAGTGAGCCAAATCAGCTGGGAGGAAGAATTTAATCAGAAAAATGTGATTGATAATTGGGAATCATTTAAGAACATTTTACCAGCTGCCCAAAAAGTCACAATTGAGGAAGAAGGCTGTGCTGGTTAAAAAAACAACCTGGTTTAGAGGGGAAGCAAAGGTATGTGTTAAAACAAAATCTATCTAGTCTATCCTCTCAGATGGAAGAAAGGGGAAGTTGATAGTAATGAATGTAAATCAGAAGTTAGGAATTGTAGAAAATTGATAAGGGAAGCCAAAGTACACAAGGAGACATCTGTGGCCAGCAGAGTTAAGGACAATAAGAAGGAGATTTTTAAAAATATATTAGGAACAAAAAGAATCCTAACAATGACGTTGTTCCATTACTAGATGGAAATGATAAAATTATAAATAGTAATGCAGAAAAGGCAGAAGTGTTCAATAAATATTTCTGTTCTTGTATTTGGGGGGAAAAACAGATGACATGGTCTCATGATTTGGCGATGATCACGTTTTTTCCATTCCAGTAGGATCGTTGGAGGATGTTAAACAGAAGCTACTAAAATCAGACATTTTTAAATCAGCAGGCCCAGATAACTTGCATCCAAGAGTTTTAAATCAACTGGGTGAGGAGCTCATTCAGCTGTTAATGTTGATTTTTCAATAAGTCTTGGAGCACTGGGGAAGTTCCAGAAGACTGGAAGAAAGCTAATGTTGAGACAGTTTTTAAAAAGGGTAAATGGGGTGACCTGGGTAATTATAGGCCTGTCAGCCTGACATTGATCCCAGGCAAGATAATGGATTGGCTGATACGGGACTTGATTAATGAAGAATTAAAGGAGGATAATGTAATTAATGCAAATCAGTATGGGTTTATGGAAAATAGATCCTGTCAAACTAACTTGATATCTTTTTTGATGAAGATATCATTGTTAGGAAATGTTAATTAATATTCATCCTAAATTGACCTCTTCTTAATTTCCTCTCATCTCTCCTAGTTATTGACCTTTGCACCAGCCTAAATGATTCTTTCCCTCATAGGTGTTTACATTCATTGAAAAAGGTACGGTGTGGTGCCTCCCCTCTTACTTGTCTTTTAGCCAAGCTCTAGATAGTTGCGGCCAGGTCCTGATCATCACCTACGGGGTACCACTGACCTCATCAGGAGTGAGGGGCTCAGCATCTTTGAGGATTCATTTTTTTTTTTTTACTGTTCGCCTTTCCTCATAAATTAATCTCTTCTGAACCTCTTAAACATTTTGTCATTCTTTTCTGAATTGCTTCCATTTTGTCTTCTGGTTAGGCAAAACCAGTAAAATAAGTGGCCCTCTAATGTGTTGTTAGCCTGAGGGTGCTCTGTAGTGTTTGCTGTTTACTGGAGAATTGTAACAGAGAGAGTATTCCATCAGATAAGTTCAGTGAGCACCAAGGAAACTTCAAAGCTTGGCACTACTGTCCTAGGGCCTGTTCTTGAAATACTCACACAGATAGTCTCATTGACATGGAAATAAGTTATAGGGCCTAATCTTGCAAATCTTACTTGCATGATCAATCCTTATGTGAATAGCTTCACTGAGAGGAAGGATGGTCCAATGGTAAGGTACTAACCTAGGACCTGGGTTTAATTCCCTGCTCTGCCACAGACATGCTGTGTGACATTGAGCTTCTTTTGAGCATTCAGCTCTTAACCCCCATTTTACAGATGGGGAACTGAGGCAGAGAGGCTAATAGAACTTCCTTATCTCATGCAGTGTCATGAGGATAAATACATTAATGATTGTGAGGGATTCAAGTACTACAGTGATGGGGGGCCATATAAGTACCTAAGATAGACTGATGTTAATGAGTTCATTCACATGAGTAGGCAATACACTTACTACTTACTCTTAAGCCCAGGAGCAGGGCCCTGGTGCTTATTGCAGAGGCAGGAATCCAGTGAAAGGCAAAATGGGTCCCCAGGACTAGAGCCAGCTGGAAACTTTCTGATGAAACTGTTATGGTGGAAAATGCCGATTTGTTGTAATGAAATGTTTAGCCAAGTCTATTACAGATTTGACAAAACGTCACTGAAACATGCAGGCTTCCATTGGAAATCTGCCTATGTTTCAGGGTCCGCAGCTTTGACAGGAAGCTTTATTCAGTGAATAGCAGCCATGAAATTGACAAGAATGTCAATTTCACATTTAATTTCAGGAACACCATATTTTGGTGTTTCTGAAACAAAAATTTCAGCTGTCTTCAGTTTGCCTAGTAACTTTGGTAAATTTTTGCTTTTGTTCTGAATCAGAATGAATGCAAATTCATAAATACCGAAATTCCCAAGTTTTGGCCAGCTCTACCTAGAACCGCTGACAGAGTTGCCAACTCTTGTGATTTTTATTGCAAGTCTTGCAGTATTTGGTGATTTGTTTTCCCTTAAAGCCCCAGTTGCTGGAATAAAGAGATTGCTTGAAAATCTCAGCTTTCGTTTGAAATAAAAGTAAGTTTCTCGCCCTCATAATGAAGGAAAACCTGAAGTGACTGCACCCTAAAGGCTCAGAGACCAGAAGGCAAAGGAAAAGAATCCAAAATGTATTTACCCAGGCCCTCTCTCGCATGCTCTTCAAGACAATCTCATGATTTTTTGAATGCATGAGGTTGGTAATACTGCTACTAGGGAATTAAGGAGGATAAAGACATTGCAGAGACATTAAATGACACCAGTATCAGTCTTTCCACAGAAGATGTTGGCAAGAGAGCTATCCCAGACCTGTTCTCTTCAGGGAATAAAGATGAGGCACTGTTAGACACTGAAGTATCAAAAGAGAACAAATTGTAGTTCAGCCAAAAACAAATTACCTGAACTAGATAGTGGTGTTCATT